TCTCTCTCTCTCTCTCTCTCTCTCTCTCTCTCCCCCCCCCTCCCCTTCTCCCCTTCCCTCCCTTCTTTGCACGCTCTCTAAAAATCAATGGAAAAAATATCCTTGGGTGAGGATTAACCAAAAAAATTAAAAAAAATAAAAATTATACTTTTATTTATTGTATAACCAAGATGGCAATAACAATTGCAGAATTCAATAAGAAAGCAAGGAAGTAACCCACAATCTCACCATTTTAACAAGGAAATGATTGTAATTTTTCTGTGGATCTTTCTAGAACTTATTCTCAAATAGACGTTGTACAGTGGTGATCTGTTTGACATCCCGTGGTTTCTCTTATAAGCATTTTCTCTTCTTGCTGCAGAGTTTTGTTAATGAGCCCATTTAATGGTGAGCCATGAGGAATGCATGTTGGTTCTCAGATGTCCGGATGAGTGTGTGGGGCGAGGGAGGTCGGCTGTGATGCTGGCTGCGGTGGGAGGCGCTGTGATCAGGGTGGGGCTGCCTGGCTCCCACATGTGCTTGCCAGGGCAAGGCAGATCCCAGCTTCACCAGCTTCCCTGGAAGCAGGAGTAGCCAGGTATCAGAAGTACCATCTGCATGAGGAATGGGGAGGTGACTTTTGAATCAACTGATGGTAATTGCCCTCTGCAGTCCCGATGAACAGTGTACTCTCCAGTCTCTCTGGCTTTGGTGCCAGTTGGGTAGAGTGCACATCTCATTGGCATGTCTGTCTCCCTCCCTCATCTATCCTTCCCTCAAAGGTTCATGGAGTGCCTATGAACGTTGACCGGTGTGGGAGGTACAGGTGAACAAGCCAAGCTCGAGTGTGACCCACAGTATCTCTGGGCAAAACCCAACCTGCGTCTCCTGGTGGAAAAAAATGAACTTCCATGCTAACCAGTCTCACTTTAAATTCATGATGCCCACTCCAGGGGACACTTACTCATGCCAGCTCCACCACAGTGCATTTCTCTGCTCCATTCTTCCCATTTCCTTTGACCTCTCATTTCAGAGCTCCAACGCCTCCTCTCCCCTGGCTGCCCACCCCCACCAGCAAAAGACTCGCTTCCCATGTGTATCGTGGAGAAAAGCGAAGCCGAGGAAAGGGAACTTCCCTGTGCTCACCACCATGTCAGCCCCCTCCCTTCTGCACCAGACGCTGCTTTGGGTCCTCCTGACCGGCCCAGGCCCCCAGCTGAGGCAGCTCCTCCCTGGGGCACTGAGTTCTGTCCCCTCCCGCTCACTCAGGCCACTGCTCTGGCAGTTCTCTCCATCAGGTTTCCTCTTCCAAGCAGGCTGTGCTCGCCCTGCCCAAGAAGCTCCGCCCCATTCCCTCTCCTTCTGCCCCATTTCCCCATCCCCTTTACAGCACGATTTGTCCGCACTCTGTCTCCATAGCCTCTCCCTCAGTCACCCCAAATCCACTGTAGTCAGGCACGTGCTGTCACAATGACACCGTCAGAACAGCTCCTCACAACATCCCTGAGATGTCTGTGTCATGGTGTCTGGTGACCCAGTCCTCTCAGTTCTCTTCCTACCTGACCATCCACAGCGTTTGGAACACCTGACACAGCCCCTCCCAGTTCCACTGGGCTGGGGTGGGCAACAGGCACCTGTCTCTCAGCTCTGTGCTGGGTCCCTGCCTTTCGCCACCTCTACACATTGCAGTGTCCCATGCCTCAGACTTGGAACGTCTTCCCTCCTGCAGCTGCACTCCCTTCCCTGGCAGTCTGTGCTCTGCTCATCCCTTTAAATACCACATACCCACCGCTGACTCCCAAGTGTTGAGATCCAGTGGGCCTCTGGCCTCAATTCCAGGCTTGCTTGTCTACCAGGTGGCCAGGTTGTCCACTCAGATGGCTAACAGGCTTCTCAGATGAGCATGTTCCCAGGGAAACTTGCTTTTCCAGTCTAAGCAGGCTCCTGAGTTTTCTCCATCTGCCCATGGTTCTGGGTGCTCAGGCCCAGAGCCGTGGGGCTCCCCTCACTCTCCTCCTTTCCTTTGTCCCAGAAGCCCATCGTTCCAGCTCACCCCACTTTACCACTCCCACGGCTGCTGTTCTGGCCCAGGCTGCCACCGCCTCCCCCGTGGACTATTGCAATGGCTCCCCACTTCTGCCTTTACCCCTGTAATCTGTTCACAGTCTAGCAGCCAGAGTGATGCTGATGCAGACAACTCCTGGCATCCCACTCCCCTGGTCAGAACCCGTGGCTCCCCATCTCACGTGGCAAAAGCTAACATTGTGATGGTAGTGCCAGGCTTGGCCTTACCGCCGACCCAGCTCCTGCCGGGCCCTCACTTACTGCCTTTGTGCTTACTGCCTACTGCTCTGTGCTGCCCTCGGCACCATGTGTGTCTTCCTGGAGCTCTGCAAGGCACCCTCCCTGCATCCAAGGCCTGTGCTCAAGAGCTCCCTCCACAAGGGCTCCCCCCACAAGGGCTCCCTCCACAAGGGCTCCCCCCACAAGGGCTCCCCCCACAGAGATTCCCCCCACAAGAGCTCCCCCCACAAGGGCTCCCCCCACAAGGGCTCCTCCCATAAGGGCTCCCTCCACAAGGGCTCCCTCCACAAGGACTCCCTCCACAAGGGCTCCCTCCACAAGGGCTCCCCCCACAAGGGCTCCCCCCACAAGGGCTCCCTTCACAAGGGCTTCCCCCACAAGGGCTCCCTCCACAGAGATTCCCCCCACAAGGGCTCCCTCCACAAGGGCTCCCCCCACAAGGGCTCCCCGCACAAGGGCTCCCCCCACAAGAGCTCCTCCCACAAGGGCTCCCCCCACAAGAGCTCCTCCCACAAGGGCTCCCTCCACAAGGGCTCCCTCCACAAGGGCTCCCCCCACAAGGGCTCCCCCCACAAGGGCTCCCTTCACAAGGGCTTCCCCCACAAGGGCTCCCTCCACAGAGATTCCCCCCACAAGGGCTCCCTCCACAAGGGCTCCCCCCACAAGGGCTCCCCGCACAAGGGCTCCCCCCACAAGAGCTCCTCCCACAAGGGCTCCCCCCACAAGAGCTCCTCCCACAAGGGCTCCCTCCACAAGGGCTCCCTCCACAAGGGCTCCCCCCACAAGGGCTCCCCCCACAAGGGCTCCCTTCACAAGGGCTTCCCCCACAAGGGCTCCCTCCACAGAGATTCCCCCCACAAGGGCTCCCTCCACAAGGGCTCCCCCCACAAGGGCTCCCCGCACAAGGGCTCCCCCCACAAGAGCTCCTCCCACAAGGGCTCCCTCCACAAGGGCTCCCTCCACAAGGGCTCCCCCCATAAGGGCTCCCCCCACAGACAGGTGTGCACTGCCTCTTTGGTGCTCCCAAGAGTGCTTCACATTTCCTTTCTGCTATACAGGCGTCGAGTCCTAGGGTAAGTACTTGTTCATCTTGAGTCCACTGCTTGCTGGAGGCATGGGAAACTGTCTTAATCAGGATTATTTTAGTTCTAAGCAAGTTAAACTGGTTTAAGTAAGAAGAATTTTTTTGACATTTTAAAAAGAGTGGTCCAAGGATATGGCTGGCTTCAGGGCTGGGTCCAGCGGTGAGGCATGACCCTTACACCTCCCGCTTTCTTTTATTGCGTCCTCCATGTGTCTTCTCTCCTCCTCTGATTTGGCTTCATTTTCATGAAGGACGGTTGTGAAAAGATGACCACCAGGTGCTCCAGCTTCTCTGGTCCCTGGTGTCCACAGTCTGAGCACCGCTGAGGGTTTCTGTTCCGAAGGCTCCAACAAAGGCCCTGGGGATATTGCCTTGGCCAAGCTTGGGTCACTAGCCCATCCCTGAACCGATCTGACACTTGGTTGGTGTGGGTCACCAAGTAGGACAGTGGGGCCAGGCCACCACAAGCCATGTACTGGAGCTAGAGGCAGGTGTCTCTGCAAACAAAAGTTGGGGATGGAAGGCTGGGCAGAGGATGGCCCTTCAAGAGCCACCAGAGTTTGGTAAGCAGGGAACTGAGGGTCAGAGCTGTGCTTTAAAAGGTTGAGCCAGCAGCACTTAGGAGAAGGGTTGGTCTGGGTGGGCCTGGCCCTCAGGGGCAGCATCCTGGGTCTGTGGTAGTAGGGGTGGGAGTGGCTGAGGTAACAGCTTGATTTTGGCCTGTACGGAATCACTAAGGGCAACAGAGGGGTCTGCAGGGGATTGTAAATTATAGACGGTTTAGCTTATCGAAGTTCTGTTCAAGGATTCACACATGAATGAAAATAATGCCAGTGGTGGCCTCATGCCGCCTTCCTGTCTTCTTGAGGGTACGCTCTGGAAGTTCTACTTTTTACTGCCTGGGCTGAGGTTTCTGGGTGCTGATTACTCCTCACAGAGAGCTCGAGGGTTGAGGGTGCTCTGGGCCTCACGGGTTGTGCTTCTCCCAGTCAGCATGGTGAGTCCACTGCCACTGTCTGCTGACCTTGAGTGGTGTGGACTTAGAAGCCGCATGTCCAGTTGTGCAGGTGGACTCCTGGGGCCGGCAGGGCTGTGGGGCAGAGCATAGTTTTGTTCACATCCAAGCTGGGGTGTGTGTAGGGTGCTCCGGCTGCTGACCGGGAGGCAGGGTGAATGCTGGGCAGCTGGGACATGGCTGCTCTGAAGCCTCCGCTCTGCAGCGGGCCTGGAGATTGTCACCTGTGGTCCTGGCCTTCCTCCGTGGCACTGGCTCGGGTTCTGCTGGCCTGCAGTCCAACAGCGCATCTCTGACTGTGGTGAGCATAGCCAGGGGGCCTTTCCCCAGAGGCCGCAGTGTGACTCTGCACCCAGAACCTAGGGTGGAGGCAGAAGGTGGTGGGGCCCGGGCAGCGTGGAGCCTGGGGCCTGCAGGAGCGCAGATCAGACCTGGGGATGGACCCTGGACGTTTGGCCACGCCCCAGCTGAAGGCTGGCTGAGGAGTTTCCTGGAGCCTATGTGACATCCTCCATGGACCCAGTTGCAGCCACCTCATGACTGGGGTGGCCTGGCAACTTCAGGAAACCACAGGGCAACAGTTCTGAGTTGAAAGCACATGGCTCAGAATTGAGGTTGATCACGTGATGCCATCTGAACCAGCAAACTTCTGAGAGTGAGAGGTGGAGCAGTCAATAGCTACGCCAATGATGAGTGTGCTGTGCTGCGCTGTGCTGGGCAGACCAGGGCGGTGGCCACCCTTCTGGGTAGGCTCTCTGGGGGACAGGGAGCGAGGACTGGTGTGCGCAGGATGGCCCATTGTCCCGTCCTCAGGACTAGCCTCTCACGGTTGTCTTTGGTCCTTGCAGAGTCCACACAGCCCACTCGAACCAGGGGGCCGGGCCAAGCTCTGTGTGATTGAGTGGGTACATTTTTTGGGGCCAGGTATAGTGGTCATGGCTTGCCCTTAATCATGTCTTGTCACTTCAGAGTGAGAGACTGACCAGCCCCAACTCCAGCCCCTAGGAATACCTTGGAGAACATGGGGACCCTTTACAATGAGAACATGTCCTCTTCTGTCCCACCGGCTTTCCTCTCCCCTTCACTGGGGCTCCTTCCCCACTGGGCTCCGGTGCCCCAGGCATACCAGCTACTTCCATGCCCTGTGTCCTGGCTTGTGCATCCTTCTGGACCTCACCTTATCATCATCAAGAGTCCTGCTCTGTGGAGCCTTTGGCCCTCGGGCAGAGTGGTCGCCCTGTCCTGCTCTCTGAGCCCTGAAGCATCAGCAGGAGTCGCGTGTCCACCTCCCTCACCAAGTTGGGCCTTTCCTGAGAGCAAGGAGGAAACCTGACAGGATCCAGAACTGCAAGGACCAAGACAGCCTGCTAGGAGCATGCTTACCGTTGTCTGCAGCTAGCACTTGATGAGGATGGTGATGGCTCCTTTTGTTTGGAGAGCATGTGCCCACTGACATGCTAAGGAAGGAGGTTCTCTAACAGACATGTGGCCGTGTCTGTGACCCAGGACTGGCATCTCGTGGGATCCCAGGCAGTGGTGGGTCAATCCCAGGGGCCTTTCTGCTGGGGCAGGGTCGCCAGGGCCCAGTTTCTCTCCCTCTTGTTCTCCACATGGGCCCTGTGTGCTTTCCAGGCACAGGGGAGGGTAGGAGCACTGATGGAGCACTTGTGGGTGCCATGCCCTGGGACAGAGCTTCGTTGACTCCGTCATGAGGTGCAGGTACTGCTATCGAACTGTTTCACAGTCGAGGAAGCCAGGTGAGAAGTCAGGGCCTCCGTCATGGCCACAGAGCTGGTGCCTGGTGGGCTGTGATTTTGTCCTGTCCCTGTCTGATCTGATTCCAGGACCTCAACCTATGTGGAGCTTCCCAGAAGCATTCCCTCCCTGCCCCTGTGGAGGGCAACCCTGCTGCCAATTCCTGCCCGGCTTCCTGTGGCCTCACTCGTGGGAGGAAACTGGGCCTGTGGAGCCCATAGGGGAAGGGAAAGCTACTTGAACTGGGAGTCCTTTCCCTGATGACAGAGCCATGGTGACGGTCTCCTTCATCCCTTGACCATCCAGAGCTGGGGGCACACAGGCAGCTCCCCAAGATACCTTTCCTCGGTCCTTCATGAGGGCCAAGCTCTAGGGTCACCACTGGGAGGTGGTGCAGGCTTACCACCATCCTTGTTTCCTCATCTGTAAAATGGGGAGATTGAATATATGTCCCCTCATAGGGTTGTGGTGGGGATCAAGATTGAACCTGTATACATGCATTTATAACTCTGAATACCTCTACTTCTACCTATGTCTAATCCGCATCTATATCTAATCCATATCCGTGCCTGCATCTGTATGTAATCTATACCTACATCTACATTTATACATTTACGTGCGTATATATCTAATACCTGTACCTGTACCTATATCTATACCTACATGTATATCTATATCCGCCTGGCACGCACCGTGCATGTGTTAGCTGACTTACGATTACTGCTACTGAGGGCCAACACTGGGGTGCAGTGCTGGGTGTCTCTGAGGGCCTGGAAGCACACTCACCCCACGCTGCCCTCTGTTGCCTCCTCGGCCTGCACTGCCCCAGGCCTGACCTGCAGATTGGGTGGTCCAGGTTTCCCTGGGGCCCTGGGCATTGAAGCAGCATGTTTGTTAGAAGCTGTCCCTTTGTTTCTGTGTCGGAAGTCTCCCTGGCTGCATCCTCTGGGTCATTAAGGATGTCACATTTGGTTTAGGTGAGCATGTCACCACAGGGCTTCTCTCTGAGTATCACAAACAGGTGATCCTGAAGGTACCCTGCAGGAGCTCCACTGCTGGCAACAGGAGCCTGAATGGGAATTGGTGTCTGGCCCCCTTGTCATCCTTGTGGCACAGTGCCCTGGCTTGGGGGATCCAGGACCTCTCCAAGTTGCTGAGTCTGATGTTGCTTGTGTTGGGGGGTAGTGTTTGCAGGACCACCCTGGACCCTAACCCTTGCCTGGGAGGGGCAGAGGCAAAGGCCCCTGGCAACCAGGAGGGCCCACTCCTCTTCTCATTCTGAGGTCACCTCACCAGAGAGAGCAGTCGACGTGTGGAATGTGACGCTGTTATAGTGTCATGTGGGGATGGGGTCAGGGACAGCACCGCTTTTCCTCCCACCTCAGTTGGGAAGGGATTGGTCGAGTGGGCTGGTGTGGGGTATTTTCCTTCCCCAGGTGAGTTAGGCTCTGATAAGACACCAGCTGGTTAGGCTGTGGAACCGAGTTTCCTCTGAGGGCAGGCCTTGTTCAGAGCAGAGGCACTGGCATATTTAAAAATACTTCCTTTCCCCTCCCCTCACCAGAAGCCTCAGGAGGGTTTTGTCTGATATTTACTGTGGGGATCTGTTTGATCTCCTGGAGCTAAATCTCACAGGATTGTGGAGGCTCCTCTATTATTGGGTTTCCCTAGAGTTTTTAACTCTCAAAGTTGTCCACACTGAGCCTCCAGCAATGTGTTGATTACAATTCAGGTTTTCCTACCCTGTCAGTGGCTCCCCAGTGGTTCCACTCCAGGAAGCTGCGACTCCCTGTGTTTGCCCATCTCTCCAGTCTTGGGGGCAGCAGTGTGCCTTGTCCTCTGACCTCCCTTGTGGCTCCAAGAAGACTTGTTGATTTTTCGGCCTGCTCCGCGTTTTCCTTGTTGTGTGGACAGCGATGACTTCCAGGCTCCTTGCATGCGGAGCCGGGAACCGGAAGCCTGCGCTTCTTCTTAAAACACATTCTTAAGGTGGAAATGATATATAATGTTTTTCTTTGTCAGTTTTAACGGTTTTGACTTAAAGCCTACTTTCCCTGATTTTAGCAGTCACCCCCTTTTCTTCCTGGTCACCACGTGTGGGAGCAGCTTTGTCCTTTTATTTTCACCTCCTCATATCTGGGGTCTGAAGGGCGTCTTTAAGAGACAGCACCTAGTTGGACTGTGTTTTAAATCCATTATTCCAGTCTCTGCCTTTGATTGGAGTTCACCTTGTATGTATTTAAAGTAATTATTGATAAGAATTGGCTTCTGCCATTTTACTCTTTGCTTCCTGCATGTCTAATAGCTTTGTGTCCCTCATTCCCTCGTTTCCTGCCTTTCTTTGTGTATATTTAATTTTTTTGTAGTGAACTACTTGATTCCCATTTCATTTCTTTGTGTATATGTCATAGGCATTTTCTTTGTGCTTACCATGATAATTACATGTACTGTCCTAAATATGTAGGCGTGTAATCTGAATTGGTTCTAACTTCAGTAGCACACAGCCAGGCTCCTGGACGGCTCCGCCCCCTTCCATGCTGTTGTCATCATATATCACAGCTTAGACATCGCTGGACTGTTAACACAGATTTAGAATTTTAAAAATTCATTTGTCTTTTAAATCATGTGGGAAGTAAAACATGGAATTACAAACCAAAAGTACAGTAACAGTGGCTTTTTAAATTTGCCCATGCAGTTACATTTACTGGAGATCTTTATTCTATCATATAGCTTTGAACTACTGTCTAGTGTCCTTTCATTTTAACCTGAAGGCCTCTCTTTAGCATTTTTTATAGGGAAGGTATAACAGACTCCCTCAGCTTTTGTTTATCTGGGAATGTTTTAGTTTTGCTTTCATTTTTTATCATTGTAAAATATACATACCAAAAACGTGGTACTTGCCTCCTCCCACAATCACATCAAAATTACAACTGAGCTACAGAACCACCTGAAATCTTGGCTGAATGGAAGTCCTACAACTAGGGAATTGAAGAAGCCACATGGAGCCCTGCCTGTGTTGCTGTCGGTTAGAGCGTTGTCCCAATACTCCAAGGTTGAGGGTTTGATCCCTGGTCAGACACATATAAGAAGCAACCAATGAATGCATAAATAAATGGAATAAGATATCAATGTTTCTCTCTCTCAAATCAATAAAGTAAAATAGAAAAGAAGAAGCCACATCAAGACCAATAGGAGGGGTGGAGACGTGAATGGGCTGCTCCCACACCCACATGTGGTGGGTAAGATTGGGAGGATTATCTCAGCTACAGAGGTCCACCCTAAGGAACAAGGGGTCCCAGCCCCACACCAGGCCCCGCAGCCCAGGGTTCCAGTGCTGGGAAGAGAAGTCTCCATAACTTCTGGCTGTAAAAACAACGGGGATGGTGGCTGAGGGAGATGACGGGCTGCAGGAGTGCTCAGTGTTCCTCTTAAAGGGTCCCCATACGGACTTACTCAGACTCACTCCCTCTGAGCTCCAGTGCTGGAGCAGCAACTTGAAAGGCACCAGAGACCTATAGGGAGGAACTGAATTGTCTGGCATCAGGGCAAGAGCTGCAGGGGCAGCTTTCTCCCAGACAAAAGTGATGGCAGAGGCTGTTGTTCCTTTGATGAGTCCTCCTACAACAGAGCCAACAGGCTAGTGCCATATCTGAGTCTCCATCAACCAGTCTATCACTGTTGGCCCCACCCTAGGGATTCCCTGCGGCTCTGCCCCACGCAACTTTTGGGGCAACCTAAGTTGTTTCTAGTAGCTTTTACATGATAATGGCTTGTCTTGGCTCATGCATTAGGTTTTTCTAAAATCTTCCAAACAGGTAGCATTTGGCTTCAGTGTGTGCCATACCTCTTGCCAAATGGCTCCAGACTGGGCACTAGCAGCAGCCTGCCTTGGTTCACAGCTTGGCTTCACCTGGGTACCTCCAAGTCCAGCACAGATAGCAGCCATCTGAAAATCTCTGTAGCGCAAGCCAGGTGGCCCTGGGCATAACACAGGCAGTGGCTGACCTTGGACTGCATTTCCTGGGAGGCCCCAGAGCCAGCCTGCCTGATGGACAACTTCAGACCACATCAAAGCACTACACAACTACCTCCACAAGCGACACAGTCAAGGAGAAGAATCAGTGAGCACCAGAGCTCTGCTGAAGTAAGTCCTGCTCTGTGGAGTGGAC